CAAGACTGATTGCGATGACAGTCTGATTTTCGACATTAAAACTCGCCAACAAGGAAAAACAACATTTATATAGGTAATTTATTTAAATAATGTTTCCAGTTCAGATGAATATAAATTTTATATGTATTATGCGTTTATTTTGGATAAAAACTGCGGTAGAATAAATGAACTTTCACCAAACATGCCGCTGTGTTTGTTTATTTATGCAAATTGTCACAGCTCTTCACAGACACCGTCCGAAAAACCCGTTGTACAAGAAAAGTACGAGGACAATTCGTATATAATTTTCAGTCTGAACGTACCTGTATTTCTAATTATTTTCATCAACAATTTATTTTTTCATGCAAAGATCATGGGAGATCAGAATCAACTTCTGTTTCAATCTATGAAATACCGGCCGTTTACGGCCGCATTGGGATTTTGACAGCGCATTAACGGGTGGCCTTTTACGGCCGGATTGGGTTATCTTTGGTCAGAAATAAGCGGCCGTATATGGCCGCATTGGGGCGCAAAGGGTTAATCAGATGGGTCAAGAATGTGATTAACAAATCAGAATACAGTGTGACACTGCCCACAATTTCAACCATCTTCTGAAGTGTTCTCCACAATCCAAAATAGCTGGTACAAAACATAATTGAGTTATAATGTAGAAAATATACGAGGTGATTTGTCCCCCAAACCAAAACGGACGATTTGTCAAAACAAAACCCGTTTTTATTTGTGGCATCAGTACTCACCCGTGCCGACGGACGGTAAGATGCATTTACACATGTATGGTCACGATACGTTGCGTTTTCAAACAATGTTTTGGAATTCAAGAAAAAATGCTAGCAATCGGCAAAATAAGAGAATCTGCTATGTTCTCGAAAGATTAGACATAAACAATGGATAAATTGAAAAAATTACGTGGAAAAGATAACTAAAATATTATTCAATTACAAATACTCGCGGTAAACTAATACGGCAGCCATGTTTGATGTTTATTACCGCTTTTCGAATTCAGTACAACTTAGATACTTAATCGTTAAAGTGCCAACAGCGGTGGGTGGCCGATGGTCGTTGAATGGGGTAGGCCCAAAGGTCACCAGTTTGCCTTCTCCATGCTGTTTTCATGATGAAAATCGAGCGAACGTTGTAAATACGGCTAGAATTTTAATTTTTGTTCAATTTTACATGCAATCTGCTAATATATTTGTTTATTTTCTGTGCATATACATTTTGTTCGTATTTACTTCTTTCTTTCGTGATCAGAAGGCGATTATTAAAAATACAGCTGTAAATTGAAACCACTGTAGTTGCGTATTGTGAGCAATAAGTGGCAACAATGTCTGGCGACAATGAATTCAGGCGATTGACACATTGCCATGAATACGCTTGATAACTGCTTGCAGACTTCCAGTGGTCATTGTTTATGTTTGGACTCTTGAAACAATAGCAAAATAAGGGTTGGGCAACTACTCTTTTGTTTAGCTTGGAGACAATGCAAGCATTTTACAAATAACTTCAGCTGGATGTACGTTGGTGGGCGAGTGTTGAGTTACTGGGCGGCCGTAAAACTTGATGGCCCGCCTAAAACCCCTTGTGGAGAACACTGCTCTGAATATCGGATATTGCAAAGAACATGTTTCGGAAGCAAATATCATTATTATGAATAAAGCTCAAGGTATGATGTATTGGCGTTAATTCTAACACTTTTTAAAAAGTTTTAACCACTTTTTTCTTGAAAGCTACTATGCTATAACAGAAAGTTGACAATACTTGCTACTAAATTGTTCATTTTGTTATTTACAACTTGAGAAACTATTCCAAACTACATTGTACAAGTTTAAAATTATCTACAACCACAATGTTATGATCACTATGGTGAATTAATTAATTTTATATTCAGGTTAATTTCATACATGTTTTGTATCAACGTCTCGTGCTTCTAGCATGCAATGTTCAGTAGACAGCGGCCATTGATATCCCACAATCCCTAGTGCAGAATAAACCTCGTTCTGTGGTCATGTGAAACATCCAAAACAAATGAATGATCTCCTGATTCCGGTCACGTGGTACAACATTATAGGTCTCGTGTGATTTGCTATGAACTCCGGGATCCAAAATGTTTCGTACGGTAAATAAAGTCAATTTTTTATGACCACTTTTATCAATTCACAGCGATAATAGGTTCTGGTCGTTGTTTGGAGGTAAATAAACAGTGAGTATTTTCGCAGGCCTTAAAATGTGATTTTCATGACGTACAAATTCGACGTTTCGATTTCAACCAGTATTCAGTCGCACAAGGCTCCATAGCCCTATGGGCGGGCCAGAGTCAGTAACGTAAAAATGCAGCCACTATTGCAAGCACATGAAAGTCTATAGACTTACATGGCGAAATTTAAAACTGTGATGTCAGGCCAAGGTTGAGAATAGACTATGATGGAACCACCCCACACTTCCATTACATTACTATGCATAATAATAATAATTATAATAATTAACCCATTTTTTCAAGACAGAGAGCACCAAGACAAACTGCTAGGGCACAGATGCCTCTGAAGTTCAAGTTATATTGTGACTATGCAAACAGGAATTAATTTAAAATTTATAAATTTCGTATATTTGAATTATATATTTTAAGTGTGTGTTTCGAAAAAAAGTTTTGGTAGTTCGGTTTAATATTATTACGTGGTTTTATCCCGACGTCAGCTGATAAAGGTACGTGTACTAGTTCATCAGTACCATTTATCACAACGATCAAAACAAAGCACCATTTAACATACATGTCTTTTTAATATCTGCATTAAATTTACAGATTCTCTAGACTATTTTTATAATTAACAAGAACAAACACATTAATATATTTTTATCAATCGATCCAAGTACAAACCCATACACACTGGATCGAAATGGTAAGGTGTACAGAGCGAAGCATGGATCTCCGATCATCAATGTTACGTAGCGATCTATTTTGTGAATACCCACCTTTCACTCGAGCGGACTTAGTCTCGAACTTTGTCAACATGATTTCTTTCGTCAGGCCGAACTAGCCTCCGAAATTTACAGCAGAACCACGGAAATCAGAGTAAAGTTATGAATGAACCGGTACACTTCCTATCCCAATATGGCTGCCACGTCACTTGCGAACACGTCTACCCACAGTTCCTTGCGTAAAGCGATTTCCAGTGAATGCTTCCTGTTGGGTGGTCTCTGTTAAAAATCAGACTAACGAGACATCATACAATTCCTGTACGCTCACATATAGTAATTTACAGTGAAATAACATAGAGTAGAAAATCAGGACCAAAAATAACAAATGAAGTAAATGTGGGTAATTTTGTTAACAACACTGAATATATAGGAGAATTGAAGCAATTACAGACGTGACAGCAGAGTGGCGCAGCGGAAGCGTGCTGGGCCCATAACCCAGAGGTCCATGGATCGAAACCATGCTCTGCTATAATATTTTTTTTTTTCATTATGAAAAAATGTAAATTACATTTTCCACTTTTATAAGTATATTTTGTTACATTTTCTTCGAGCAAATTATTTGTTTCCTGTGTATATCTTTTGAAGATTGTGTTTAATGACTACTTGCTGTTGGCGGCTTATAGAGGGCGCAAAGCGTTCTCGTACTGGGGATCACTTGTGTCTGGGATCACTTATTTTATTTGTAACGGATATGCAAAACACTCACTTTAAATAAAAATCACGGACCGGAGGGCCAAATTTCCCAAACACCCACCCTCTGGGATAATTTTTCAACAAATCTCCAAGGAAAACCCACCTGTTAGTTAAACCAAAGTCCGGGCAGAGGGACTGTGGTTAAATATAGCTTTGGTTACTGAGAATTTCAAAAAAAAAAGGATCCTTGACCCTTGAAAATGTCGCGGAAAATGCACCCTTGCCTATTTAAAACGTAATTTACAGATCACTTTTGCGCCTTGCATACCTGTTGGTAGGGTTCTACTAGTGACACTGCCCCCCCCCCCCCCAATTTTGCTCGGAAACGATGATGCAATCAAAACGTAAGTAAGTAATTTAATTTGTTTATTTGTTTGTTTGGTTATAATATTAGTTTCTCCTGATTTTCTTCCCACGTGACCATAACGCCGAAAATCGATTGAATGCTGGGATACATTCTCTTTATCATACATGTACAATATCGAAATATGTGGCATACGGATTGTTAATATTCAATTGTATTCTAACTGTCTGGGAATCGGTCGGTTTCCGGCTTCGCGCGGGTCTCTATATTTATTCTATTTACTGCACACTTCGTCCCAGTGAAACAAATCATGAAATGGCGTTTTTTGTATACTGAATCATAAAATATCACTTGCCATGTAGACACTCTCCATCCCAGAGCTCTTAGCGCAGGCAGGCCATACCTGCCACACATGACTTTTCACGCTATAATTAGCCACATATCAAAACACAGGCGTTGTTCGGTTATTCAAGACGGCGGCCCATACCCAGTTGGCAAGGAAACTATTAAATCTTTCTCTTCCCATACAATTTCCAGAACTTCCATCTGCTTTGGTTCCAATTCCACGTCAGAGTAGTATTCATTCAGAGAATTTAGTAAGGTAAAGAGAATAACAATACATAAATAAACAAATGTAATAACTTGAAAAACAAACAGTAAAACTGGAAAAAATAAAGGAATATTAAAATAATAACTTCAAGATTCTCGCAACTTGTAATCAGGAGATTTATAGATAGTATCTTTAAGGTATATTAAAAGGGCTTTTGCCTTTTTTAGTCACCTCAAAAAAATCTGGTAAATTAGACTTGAGATCACAATCTTCAAAAAGTCTTTTCCATTCACTTTTAAAGGAAGGACATTGAAGGATAAAATGATCTCATCACCAAGAGAATTTATGTTACATCTTTTACATGTGTTAAAGTTCCCGCGAACTCCGCCATTTTTGAATATAGTTCGTGTTTGAACCCCCACCAATGACCCTTGATTTGCATAAATCCATAATCAAGCTGTGGTAGAGGTGATTTGAAGAAGCGCAGTCTTGCGTGGAAAGTGGCATGTAGACTGGAAATACATTGCGCCCTCTAGAGAAGAAGCGCTTCACATAAAGTAAATGGTTGACACGAAGGCTGTCCATAGCGACGATATTATTTAGATCGTTCGTCGATGAATATTGGGTTTTGAGTTATTATATTCTAGATGACGATCGACTACACAACCAAACATGGTGGTTCATTTAAACGACATTACATTCACCCAGAAGAGACATTGCAACTTCGCAGAATCGTTGCATCAATAGAGGGCGCGGTTTACAGGAATTGTGTATTTTACTCGTACTAGTATTGGCTTTGGTTACTACAGCATCAGAGATCATATGGACACATATATACCATTTACGAAATACGCGCATGCGCTCATTATAATGCACATGTATATGAGTGAGCTGTGTTGAATTCGAGAGCGGTTTGTGTAAAACCTTAAAAAAACACAATAACATCACGGATCTTGACAGTCTCAACAACAGTTCAAATTGACCAATAGTGATACTATCTCATCAAGCATATTCTTCAAGCAGTCGGGATCTCGGTGAGAGCGAGAGGGTTACGAGACTTGTTTTTCCCGTCATAGTATTCCACTCCGTCCCGTTATCGTGTACGCTGTTACCCTGTTCTGTGTTGCTATGGTCTTTATCAGAACAGTGGGCACGATGGTAGAAGAAATTTGCAGACTATTTGAAAGGCAAAACAAGACTCTCACTCTCAACAAGATGTCGGCGGCCAAGGTCTTTGTATTTTTAAGTGCAATCGTGTAATGTGCATTTTCAAGAATACGGTAGCAGTTCATATCCCCATATACCGAACGTGGGTAGAAATGTAAAAATAGTGTTCTGTACTTTAAAAAAGTACTGTACTATGCGTCCGCGACGACATCTGCCTCTGTTAGACCACAGTACGGGGTAGAAGATCTTTCTTTCTTTGCGCCCTCTACAGGTAGACAAATAGTTGTTTATCATATTATATAAAGACTTAAGCATCTACTAACCATGTGACGTCATGATTTATTTGATAGTGCTGCTTTGATTCACCTGAGTACTTGCACATGCGCAGTTCTGACAATAAAGACAGCCCAGCAAATACTTGAAATGTCGATATATGTGGATTCTTCGTATCGCTAAAATTACACTAGACCTATTGGTTGACGTACCGTATAGTTCTAACACACCTGGGATTGTCTGTGATGCTGATAACACGGTATACGTGCAACAACAGGTAGTGTAAGTGCACCGTCTTTCGTGTATATATGACCCCAGTGATGACCGATATTGTTATAATCTACCGTATATCAGTGTTTGTTGTTGTTTGCAGTGGTGGTGATAGTGTGCATTTGTGTATTCATTGTGCGGATAAACAAACTGTTAGTGAAACTGCGCTACACGATCAGGCAGGGAGGTGTCAGAAATTTCCAGAAAGTATATCCCTCCTTCTATGCTGCTTCCGCTTCCGAAACGAAATCATGATATTTTTTGTAATGTCAACTTCCTGGTTCAGATAAATGATATGTCAACCATAAACAGAACAGGAATATAACGTTTTATGCATAGATAATTTAGCACAAATGAAAGGAATTGTTAAAAAGACGCGTATTAACATGACACGATTCAATGGTATAATAACCTGGAATTTCCGTGTTTGCTCGTATCTAAATATGGCGTATAACAATGGAAGAAACATAATTATTAACAGCTAATAAGTAACCACTGTTAATATATAACGCTTTATAATCGCGATTCGATCTGATATCATCTCGTGTGACACACCATACAGTTCACCAATCAAAAACAATGAACTTTCGCGACATGAAAATATTTGTCGAATACGAAAGAACAAGTAAAAGGGCATAATACAATTTACACATGCACAGCGACACACGATTGTGTAAAAACAGACACAGTCAACCTATAATATTATATAAAAAATGTATTTTCACATAAAACTATTAAAAATTACTGAATCAACAACAACAACAACAATAACAATAATAATAATAATAATAATAATAATAATAATAATAATAATAATAATAATAATAATAATAATATAAAATATATATTTGCATATTAACAAAACATAACAAAATATCTAACACACTAAATAATATTTAGGAGTTTGTCCCATTCTTGATGTTCTTTCACATATTTGTCAACTTCTCAATGATGTTTGTCGTTTCATGATGTTACATAATACAAGAATGTCCTAGGCTGAGTTGCGAGGCCAGCCAGTAAATTCTCATAACGTTTCCTGCTGAAAAATGACTACTAAAATTTAGCGGCCGGGATTTTCCGCCTGCATTATTTTTCAGTCTTCGTTCGATGCCTATCTCAATATTTATTTAAATACGCCTCTTGTCACCGTCTACCTGCACGGTGTTTGTTCGGACATTCCTCCCTCTACAACAGTGCTTCGCCGGAACATTCACCTTGACAATTCAAGATGATAATTGCATGTGATTGACATTTTTATTGTCATTTTTCATTTTTACACTTTTAATTAGTTAAGAATAATCTTGTAAGAATATCATGATGGCGTCAGAATACAGAATATCTATCCCACCTACTGATCCGACAGAACGTTCAAGATGGTGTCAAAATCAACTGTTGGAACGCACGCAGATGATCTTAGCAAATCAACACCTGCCAATCAATAGCAAAATGAAAGTCTCCGTAAGAAGGCGACGGAAACGTCTGGACGACTGTCGTACTCATCATCGGCATACGAAACAGCAAAGTGTGGCAAATGTTCATAGTACACACGTCAATAAATCAAGACCAACAGATTGTAAACATCGAAATGATTCTAAAAGGTTTGTAGCATTTATTTCGTAATACGTATGTGCATGACAATTAGCATTTTATATTAACATATATATTAATCATGATAGCACTATTTTTTAGCGTCAATCTGAATGCCATAAACAGTGAATGTATAAAGAAAAACATTGAACATTTTCACACAACATTCTCAGCCATCATCTGTGTAGTGAAATCACATGTTCGATTGATTAATTGATATGTGAATGGTGCCACATATGAATATAATGCGATCACTCACTCCTCGCTTCAGTTGTAGTTCAGCATACAACTCTAATATAATAGCTCCATTGAG